GCAGCTCTGCCTTACATGTATTCAATTCCAGGTGGTTTTATATCTCAAAAATACCAGGCATTCTGACTGTGAGAGTTGCTTCTCCACATATCTGACATGTAACTTGATTTGGTTTGGTCTCCATGAAGATAGAAAGGTTTAATTCCATACTGTGAAACATACCAGACAAAGCAATAGATTTGACAGACCGTCCAACAGAAAAGTTACACAATGTACCTTTAACTATAGCTGTGTGACATTTCAATTTTGATCAAGTTCCTCTTTAATTCATGACACAGTGAACAATGATCTGCTGGCATGTTTTGTCTCATATCAATAACTTCCACTTATTACCGGCTTGACTTCCCTTTATCTAACTTCCACAACTTTTCCCAAATTGGCAAACGAAACAATCATTACGTTCTAATCTCTCCCTCCCTCTCAGTCTCACCCTTCCCCCCTGCAGTCCCCTCTTTTTGCTCTTGTACACGCAGGGCCAAATCTCTTCAGCATTTCCAGCCCTGTGAGCTAATTTGACAGCTCAGGGGGTGACGCTGATTCCAGTTCGCCGAGACAGGTACCCTAGGGCTAGCCAGCTGGATCGCCGTGGATGCTTACAGATTTGGCTTTAGCTTCATGCTGGGTGTCATCTGTCTCTTTGGTCTGGCTCGGGATAATTTCTGTGTGTATGTGTATGTATAGAGTGTGTGTATGTGTGTGCGTGCGTGCCTGTGTGTGGTTTTGACATCATGTGCTTGAGCAGTTTGTGCCTGGCAGCTCTTGTCTGTCCAGGTTGGCCATCAAACGCAAGCAGCATGGCCCTAATCTGACGAGGCACCGCTCCAAACATACCACAGCAGCCCGAAAACAGTGTGTGTGTGTGTGCGTGTGTCTGTGTGTGTGCGTGTTACTTTGACCCCTAGGGCACTCACCCCCTCCACTCTCTCTCTCTCCTCTCTCCATGCACCCACTTTTCGATGACTTTTTCTCCTCTGCTCTGTCCCACGTCTATCACCACCCCATTGCGCACACACATATAAACTAATGAGGAACTTCATAAAGTGGGGTTTTAAATGTTCCCACATCTGGGTGTGTGCGCTGTGGATCTACGGACATAAATGAAGCAAGAACATTTGTTTCATAACTATTTTAATATTTCAGGAAGGCTCATTATCTCAGTCTATTTACTCTGTAACTAGAAGATTATTTTTGGTCCAGGTATAGACCTACTGTTACATTGCATCACATTGCTATTGTTCTCTGGCCTCTGATTTGACCAAAAAGTCAAATTAAAACTTTGAATTCTGTTGTCCTGGTTGACCTGGGCAAACACAGCAACCTTCTTCTTAAATTATGCATAGGATTGGACAAGGCAACAGTGTACTCTTTTACTCTCCTGTAGAGAAAATGTATTTCCAGGTATTTTCCAGAAACAGGCCTCAAAATGGCGTCCTCCAGAGCCACTTGTGAACGATAACTACAGGCGACACTGGTCTCCCTGAACGTCGAGCGCGGTCTGAGGCAAAGAGAGGAAGTGGCAGTCCACCGTCACGTTGTCCTGGTGATGTTCGGTTTAGTTTGTGGTGTAAACGAGAGAAGGACGTGTCTCTCTGTGTCTCTCAGCAAAGCCCAGGCTGATGGGGACATATGCTGAGGTTCAGACTGAGCCCTGTCCGTTATCAGGTCCTGGGCGCACTGACAGCAGAGGGACACGGAGCAGGACTTTTATAGTGCCAAATAATGGTCAAATGAGTAATGCTATAATACCTGGAACTTTTAAAAAATAGATTACTTTAGTTTTGAAGTTGATGCAAAAACATGTTTATTTACAATCCATAGCCTTTAATCCTTTCTGATGTGACTGGAGCTACTCAATGTTCATGTCTCATCACCACAACCTGCTGCCCATAGCACCTGCACAGGAGTATACTTGCTCTAAGTTACCAATTATTTGGAGAAATTATGTGGTAGACTCTTTGCAGCATTATTTAAATCAACAGAAATGGTAACAGTGACTCAGTATTACAGATCTACAATTTCTGTTTGAGGTCGACCAAAGTTCAAGTCCAGACCCCATAAAGTTTCCATTCATACATTTAAAAGGAGGTAACCACTGATTGAGAAACATTGATCTAGAAAAACTTTACTGACCCTCCACTTTACTGACCCTGGCCTACTGATTTTTAACTATCTTTACCTATCACCTCTCCATACAGCAGAGGGACTTCACTGGACACATGACCTATTCACTGTCTAAGGACTGACTCATAGAAAGTGTCCGTGAATGAAACAGCATCTGTAACAAAGTGGAGGTGGGTGGTTGTGGGTTGTGGGCACTGGGCAGCAGCAGGTCCTCCCCTCCTCCTCCCCTCCTCCTCCTCCTCCTCGCATCTCTCCAGCCCGTGGCATCAAGTGAGTAACACCCACCTCCCCTTCCCCTTCCCCATCTCAACCTCGGTGTCAAGAACCCAGAGAGACCCGCAACAACCGCAGCCAAATGCAGAATAATTATACCCAGTGGGGGGTGTGGGCACTGCGGCCGTGGGGGGCATGTGTGGTCGGGCCGCGGTGCAGAGGAGCGTCACCGACCGGGCGAACTCGCACGGCCACTGGGCATGTTTTGGTAAAACGCAATCGCAGACCTCCCACTGCACAGCGCCGGATCCATGAGAAAGAGAGAGGGAGCGAGACAGAGAGAGGGAGGGAGGGAGAAAAGGAGAGAAAGAGCGCGCGCTACGGATCATCTGGCTACTGGCACCGTGGCTCACACAGGGGGCCGGTGCGCTGCTCCGGTCCGGCACATTCTGCTTATGAGCAAGTGATGCACCTCGTGGGATGGAGACGGACACACGGAGGCTGGACAAAATATGTTGTTTGACAAAAGAAATAAACAGGATTGTATGAGATCTCAATGCGCAAAGTATTAGGCCTGTGTTTCTGCTTAGGCTCCATCTAAAAATGAAATAAAAATCTCTGTTAGTTGCCCTCTTCTCAAAGGCTATATGGTGTTACAATTTAGGTATAACTGTTCAATAATTGATACAAGAGCCGCATGTCTAGGCAAATTTCTACATTTATAATATTATTTGCAATCCTATTCTTAGTTATTACCATACAATCTTTAGGATAGTCTACAAAATCCAATGAACTGGAAAAGGCCAGCATCAAATTAGACCTATAATAAACATATTTGGATGAGTCTGAGTTGTAATAGTTTATCTTGACAGTGTGAGTGTGTCCCAGACAGGCTCTAGGTCCTGTTGCAGTAGTCTGAAGTAGTTTAAAGCTAAAAATCTTTTTAATAATAACCAAAAGCGTTGAGCAAAACGGAGGAAAGGACATGAGCTCATGCAAAGATCTGCGCAGCCAAAGACGAGGTTCACAAATAATAATGCAGGAGGACAGATACTACTCGTTATGTTGATGCAATTTTAGTTTTACAAATTCACAAGAGCTCTGGAAATCTGGGCTTGGAGACATGAGTTCAGAGAGGACTCAGAGCATCCCACTCTCACACAGGCCTAAATATGGGTTTAGTAGTTCAGAGTTTTAGGCTGCAATTGAGATGGCTATTAGAAATTATTCGTTTTTTAATGGTTACCCAAAGATTTAAATTTAAATTAAAAAAGAGATGAAATGGTCACAAAACACACATCATCAGAATTACTTTACAGAATTAACAGATTAAAATTAAGAGAGTTGAAAGTGTAGGCCTACTGAATGAATATTATTTCTGAATTGCCCACACATATTATACTTTAGACTATATCACTAGTGTTACTTTAAACTTCCACCTCTGTTCATAATGCAACATTTGTTTTAAAACATTCACTAATTCACATGACTCTTTGTACAAATACTTTTTCATTTCCCCTGCAGATTTTGAACACTCTAAACTCACGGCTGGTCCTGACATGTTTGTTGTTGTTTCACAATAACACAAGTCAACAGCAAAGGGCTTATTTTATCCTGTGGCGGTGGATCAATCACATAATCTTTTTAATAGGCCCAAATCAAACTAATGGTGCATGTAATAAGTGTTTAGCTAAACTGTGTGGACAGTGGGAGACTTAAGTGGTGCATAATTATATTCTTCTAACTGAGGTTGACAGTAATAATGAATTTAAGCTTGGTAAACAAACTTGTGACAACTAATATGCAATGAGTGCCCCCAAACAATGCCTCCCCTCACCCTGAATAAATATCATACTTGAATTTCCCTTTGATTATAAATACATTTATGCCAATATATTTGCATTTCATATAAAAGAATTAGCTAATAAGGAATAATGCACTCACCAGGGATTTGACCAAAAAAAAAATGTGGAGAGTGATGCCATCCAGTGGACAACAGGGTAACTGCACTTTTCAAAAGTACATCCAAAAGAGGGTATTTTTCAATTTTCAATTAGAGGCACAGTTGCGCCATCAAATAAGCTAGTCATACGATTTATAGAAAAAATAACTACAAAATACATGCTGGGAACTGAAAAAGCCTACGTGAATTAAATACAAGCACGCATTAACACACATAATAGACACTTTTGAATAAGAATGGGCATAAATGAATTCTATAAATGACAACTTCATATGAATAGACCAAAATATTAGCTACAGGCTAATCATCAAAATAAATAATTAAATAAGAACCGTGCACAAGTAATAATATAATTTTGAGTAATAACTAGAGCCTGGTATATTTATGTAAACCTAAATACGGAGCAAGACTGACACCTGCAGGTCACAAAAAGCAGGGTCGTAAGTGTGGGGCTAAAGCATTGGATCACTCTAGAAGGGGAGCTCAAACTCGACTCACTTTTATAAAACCGTTTAAATATATTAATTTGATCAAATACAGAACTTTAGTAATGCTATTATTTTTTCAGACACTAAATATTCATACAAACATATTGTTTGTAAAGGATTTGGGACAATCAATCCATTACAAATGTTTAACACCCCTAAATTTGCAGTTTGGTTCAGCCCGTATCCCACCCGGAAGCAGTAGTAAATATTTACAATTCAAGTCACCTGATTTTAATTCAGCTGACTTCAATAATGGAAGAAACTCTGTAAAGTCTTTAATTTGCAAATCTATAGCACTATGTAGTTAGCAGCAATTTGTTTTTACTCTGTTGACGTGTTACCGTGGCTCTGTTTGTAGTGCGTGTGTTTTTTTTAATTAGAAAAGTTAGCTCAGATAGCAGCTAGCAGCTAATCTTTTTCATTTCTAAGCTGAGTTTGAAGCTACATTTTCGTTTTTAGTGAAAACATGGACAAAGTCATTAAAGGTAAGTGCAGCAATTCACAGTCACTGTCCTTAAGTAAATGCATTTTTTTTTTCATCGTTATAGCACAATTAAATAAAGTTGTATATTCCTGCACACTGTTAGAGATATATTTAAAAAATCATGACAAAGAAAATAATAAAGGATTCAGACTACAACTACAGTGATTTTAAAATATATGAAACATTAAACTAAGAACAGATTGTAAGTAGAGATTAAAATGCATGCTATACCTAAACAGATCTTCTAAAAAGTCAATTTAATACACACGTTTTAGTAATTAGGAGTGTTAAAAGTTTGCTAAACCAATTTCTCCTATAAGATTGCGTGCTATCCTGTGTTCCAGTGCCTGTTGTGTAGTTTGTTTACCAATTATATAGAAGTCTGAGTGCTCTGAACTTATATGAATTGGATTTGTTCATTCTGGCTGTCATAAAAAACAACACTATAGTTTTGTTCCCTCCCATTAAAAGTGAATGTAATTGCCTTGCAGATGTTGGCGATATCCAGTCCAGACTATTGGACCACAGACCCATTATCAATGCAGAGACACGCTACTTTGTGAGAGAGTTTGAGGTACTTACCATATGTTTGGAGCCATAACAGACAGCAACATTTGTTTAATTGCTTTGTGCAGTGAAATGGGACTAAACTTGTGCCTTCTGTTGTTTAGGAGAAGCGTGGCCACAGGGAGAGTCGACTGCTGGACAATCTCAATAAAAGTGTGACAGAAACCAATGAACAACTGCAGAACTCCAGCTCTGAGGACATAAAGCAGCAGCTGGCTGACGTCATTGCACAATGTTAGTCTCCCAAGAGAGGGATTTGTCACTTGTTTTTGTCATCTGTTTAGCACTGTCATTTAGGGGTACACTTTGTCCAACTCGTAAATGTCTTATATTAACAGTTTTTCTTTGATTTCTTCTCACAGTGGGGGCTGCAAATCATGTGGCACAAAGGATCCAGCAGAGGGAGCTAGAAGGACAACAGGTAAAATCATCAGACCCTTCTGCAGAAATTATTATTTTGTCTTGTCCTTTTTCATTGTCAAAGATCTAAAATTAGACCTGGTGAATGTTTATGCAGAGATCTATCCTGAAAAACAATTAGAGACTCAATATTTTGTCCAGATTAAAATGTCAAAATATTCTTAAATTAACTAACTAACTAGCCTTTACTGTATAAAGACAATAAAGGCTTTCTATTCTATTCTATTCCGTATTTTTAGCGTGAACTGTATGCCATATGGACAGCATGGTGGATAATGGTTAGCATTCTTGCCTCACAGCAAGATACTCTTAAATTGAGTCCTGGGCTGTATGCGCTTTTTTGGTGTCTCAGATGTCCTTATTATGACCTTAAAGTTGCAATATGTAACTTTCCTGGTTCACAACCTGTTAGTATCCATGGAGATGTTATAGCTTTTGGCTGGAATGTTTTACAGTCTGGCAATAAACATTAATCTTGTATTTATTCACCAGCTTGGCTCTATGGAGAACCCATTAAAACATACCGATATTAGACTATATAAACAAGAATATGTAGAGCAGAGTTTTAAAAATCATCTATATACATTCTATGTTGTATTAATTAAAAGACAAGCTCTAGATATTAAGAGTTAAGTGTTATTTTACGGCTCTTGATTGCTCAAGGAATCACAAGTTAGAGTTTAAATGCCAAGGGTCAAGCTCTAAATATAGGTGAAGAGAGGGTACATTCTGTAATATGCTAATTTGCATTCACTTGTGTGTGGCAGCCCTAGAAAAAAACACGAATATAAAATGGATGTTGGGACAAAAAAAATCATAGTTGTATTTTCATTACTGTTAAAATATTTCTAACTTTGCACTTTGTTTCAGAACAAACAGTTGAAGGAGAATATGGAGTATTTGAAGGAGGAGTGGGCAGAGTTTCTGAAGGAGCAGCAGAGACTGAAGGAGGAGGTGGACGAGGACCACGCAAAGGCCGTTGGAGAAATCAGCGCTAAGTACAACGAAATGAAGAAAGACTTGGACAAATTAGACATCTGATCTTTTATTGTTCGTGAAGGTAACAAAGTTTATTATGGAACTGGAAACCATATACTTAGCCTGCTGGAGCCAAAAAGCCTGTTCTGCAATAGCTAATTAGAGACATTGATGGATGTAGTCACTGCTTGGCAAAAACAAGTTCGACGTGAACAGGTTTTGCTCTAGCTCAAAGTTAGCATTTCCCTAATCACGAATAATAAAGTTGTGATTAAGAAAGCTGGATTTTCACAGACCATCAACGCCACTGTTTTTGTTCTTTTGGCACACGGGATACGCACCGAATGTCCTGGAATATGTCACATTTGAACAAGCAATCACTGGACTGCTTTTTGGCCGTGAAGTTTTCAACATTTCAATATGTTTAATGGACGCCTGCCTAAGGGGTCCTGATGACATACATTTATCATACAGGTGAAATACGCCAAGCTCCGCAAGTCTGTGATTTAAGTGTCCGTAACAACCTTCGGAGCAGGTGTGTTTAAAGCACAAGTCAAATCCCGTAAAAATGAGCACAAACAGATCTCTTTCTGTGTTGGAACATTTGACCTCCTCCAGTAATTGAACCAAATCAGGACTCAAAAAAAAAAAAAGCTGCTTGAACAATCACCACCAGCTGCGAAGTGTTTACTCTGCCACCTGCCGTAGCAATATAATGATCACAAATCCAGTATTTGTCTGACTGTTTAGACAGAATGAAACATAAATCTCTATTCTTAATGACTTTTCTGTTTAGCTTTCCCATTGAACACACATGCGTATACTGTAAGAATGTGTAGTATTGCTTTGAGCTACTTGTCCCTCTCTCGTCTGCATGTCTGTCTTAAACTTGTCCTGTACCAAAGCTGCATTTCAGGTGGTCTAAATGTTGATACCAAAACTCAACACTTGGTGGTACTCTTTCATTCAGCAAAACTCAGTGAAGCATGACCCTTTCCCATGTGATTACATAGGTTTTAGATCTTTCCCATTATATCACATTTGTTTTCAATATTGAATAGTGATAAATGCAAAAATCTTCCCCTAACCTGGAACATCCAGACTGAAATCTCTCTGTATTAGGGAAGTTTGTATTCTGGAAGTCATTTACATTGCTAAACAAAAGCTCGAATTTACAAACTGTATGGCTAACAATGCAATGGTGACAATCGTACATAAATGTACTTGTGTCAAAACATTGATAGAGATCAGCACCAAAATGGATTCGCATTCTATAAAAACCAGGATGCACTCATCAAATACTATTTGAGCTGATCCTCATGTGTATGTATCAGATATCATGTTTGCACTTTTTGTATTAAATGCTGTTTGCTCACATAATAAATAATGATTTATCAGTATAAATCCCAAGATCATATTTTTCAAGGAAGAATTATCTGCTTTCAGTCCTATCAGTTTATACTCATTTATACCCAAAGCTCTCAGTGACAATGAAAATTTATTTGACGTCCCCTTTGTCAACAGATAGGCCATATATTACTTTCTCATTGGATAATTTGTTCTAAAAGTCCAAAGAAAGTGAAGTTTTTATACCCACTTTGTACACTGGCACTTTTCATTGAATGTTTTTGACCTTAAGATGAGGTCACACACCACACTGTTTTGATTGAAATGCAGACAATAGGCCAGTACTGGTCAGGTTGACGGATGGGTGGGCACTTTGGGCACATTCCTGACATGACTAAGAACGAAGTTAATCTTTGAAAACGCAATTGAACAAATATTTAAAATACCCCACTGCACTCCAGCGCCCTCCAACCCCACTGTCAAACCTCCCGTAGTCATCTCCGACCTCACTTCATCAATCTACTTAAGTAAAATAAAGTTCCTGCTGGAAAAATAAGATTAAAATCAAAACAGGCTGGCAGAGGAGGACCATGCAGTTTACTTATTTGACATATCTGCCCAGCAAAGTCAAAGTTATATATTAAGATATCATCAAGAATAATAAATCTGATGTTATCAAAGCTGAATAAATATTGTATTGACCATGTATTGCAGCATAATGTTATCTCGTCTATAAAACTCCCTTGCTCTTTTATTAGTAACATTCCAGACACAAGCTACTATAACCTTGAAAAGCCTGAAAACTTGCCTTAAAGGTGTACTATGTAACTTTTTCACCTGCTTGGATATGTCATTGCTCTGCCTGGAATGCTCTATAGTATGACATTAAACAGCTCAACCTTGCAGGTGGTTTTATAGCTCAAAAATACCTAGAAAAACAGGCATTCTGACTGTGAACGTGGTTGCTTTTCCACGGATCTGTAACTTTGTCTAGTTTGGTCTCCATGAAGAAAGAAAGGTTTAATACAATACTGTGAAACATTCAAGACAAACCAATAACATCTCTTAAGAGAAAAGCATTTGATGGACCCTCCACTAGAAAAGTTACACAGTGTACCTTTAACATGCAACATAATATGTACCTTAGAAGATGCCAGTTCTAAGCATGGTTAAATAGAGGGACACTTAATGAATAAGTCTCACACTTATATGACAAAAAGTGTCAATTCACTGCTGTGAGAAATTACTTTTACTTTTTGACTTTATGTAGTATATTTAAAACTGGACCTAAAATGTTTTTTGAATGGTGGTTTTGAAGCTGTAGTAAATCATATTTTCACTATTCCATGTCCATGTCTAATTTATTCATTGGTTTGTTGTTGTTATATGTTATATGCAACATTTTGAGGACTTTTTCACATTCAAAAGAAATAGTACTTAAGTTTTAATTGTTAGTCGCTATGGTAACTGTTCTAATGGTTCATCCTTCTGAAACCTGTGGATAGGACACATTAGACTGGGGTGTCAGTTGCCATGCCAGCGGAGGTGCACAGGGCAGCGGGTTGCAGTGGAGACAGCTCATCAGAGGCTCCTAATGAGAAGTGACAATACGGAAGTGTGACGGGACTCTTCCAGCCAAACTCCCTTTGATCTGCCTTTTGGATTTTATTGGAAAAGAGTGAAAACTGCATATGTAAAAGGTCAGGATTAAGTCATTTTGGAGGCGTCAGGATGCGGTTTTGTATTTGGTTGTAGATGACACTTTGCAATGTTGTCTTTATTGAATTGAAATATTTAACCAAAAAATGTCCACTGTTCAAAAGCAGGGTAGCTTCCATTTGTGTATCCTCATAGTGGGTAATATAAACAATTTTTAAAAGTGAACTATGTAACATAACGGAGAGGAGTCTGACATTTTCTTGTCTCCATGGAGATGTTATTTCGGCATGTTCCACAAGATGACATTAAATTCACCTATCTTGCATTTATTAAATTACAAGTATGATGTAACCTGGAAGGCTTTCTTACAGTGAATAAGATCGCCTCTCTATAGATGAAACCTGTGGCCTGCTTGTTTCCATGGAGACAAACAGAAAAGTTACACAGTGTATCATTAAAGAAACATGGGTAACATTGTGACTATTACTATTGTGGTCAAGTTTCCGTATATGTCATTTGCTCCTCCATTCTATTGTGTATAAATACTTTAATAATAAGGTAATAGCTGATGGGGGAATTTTATCAGACATACCAGACACACATTTTATCGTCATTTGATTATGTTATTCACTAAACGTTATCTCTCCTGTTTGTCCTGGTTGACTGGAAAGCACCTATTTGTCCAGGGGATCAGATTGCCCTTATCACAGACCAGTGCAGAGGGGCTCCGGCTGGGTGCTGCCTGGTTTCCTCTAGCATTTGTGTTGGCACGGCGACCAGCGGCTTTGGGACCGGAGAGCACCACGCGGGGTTAAAAACAGGAAGACTGGTCCGGTCTGGAGCAGGTCTGGAGAGTGGGCAGAGGAGACCAAAAACAACCTGATACAGAGGGTCCGCAGAGGGCAGGGAGACCAGGGGGGAAGACCAATGAGGTAGAATGTACAAGTGTGGACTGTGTATTACAATGTTTGTTTAAAGGGGCACATTTCCTCTCTTTTATGATCTGTTATAATGTTGTTTCCTCATCACAAAATTACCCGGAGTTGTGTTTCTTTTCATTCACACATGTTTTACACACAAACCCTGTGTATTTAAGATGTGTTTGTCTCACAAACAGAAAACACTCTGGTCCACCTTGTGAAGTCATGTGGTAATCTAGGATGTGCTCCACTGCTTTTTTAAACTTCATACACTTTTACTAGAATCATTTGGGTAATTTAAGCCCTTTATTTGCCAATCTATGGAGCAAAAGGAAAAAAACATGACATCACTAGGTGGTTTGACGGTTATAAGGGTTTCATTTGGAACGCAGACTAAATTAACAAAAGAAGAATGTCATTCTGTGAACTGGACTCATCCAAGTAGCTTCGGTTCTGGTCAGGTTGCTGGTGCCATGGTGGCAAAACATCTTCTCTCTAAAATGTTTTTCTATCTGACAGAATTTTTCTTTTCTTATGATCATATCATACCACCACACAGACAATTTATTTAATTTAAGCTCTTATCTGTACATGTCTAAGGTATTTAAATTGGACTTGGTAAATGGTTACATTTACCAACTTTTCCACCTTCAAGGCACACAAAGAGCTTAGCACCAAGGAATTACTCACCCATTCACCCAAACCTCCACACATTCAAGGACACAACGACAGAATCCAACTATTTGAATGACTTTTAATGCACTTTTATTAATGTCAAATTACCTTCATGTTTAATAACATTTTTAGCCTTTTTTATGAATAAAAATATTTATAAATCTCAAATCAACCAGGCACTTCAATAATTTGGCATGTTTAAACATTCTGTGAGCTTAAGCAGACTATTTTCGTATTTAGCCAATGTACTTTCTCTCACACACCATCACCCCCTGACAGCAGATTATGAAACTACAAGATGGTCGACCCTAATTTCTCAACTGCCCACAGCCTAAAATGAAATGCCAATGAACAATAGTGTTCCCAAGTTAATAAACCAGCTTATAACAGCACCCTAGGGAGCCAGCTATGCGTCCATGTTGCAGGTGCTAATAATATGAATTCTTGAGCAGAGGCCAATGTTCACCCAGTGGATTTTAAGACTGAAGTAAAACAAATGAGGTAAAACGATACTCAGGAAATGCACTGGGGAGCCTCAAATGCTTACAATGAGAACTGGGTGGCAAATAAACCAATCAAAATGTTGCAGATTAGATGTCCTAAGTTTAGCAACGAATGAAAGATTATAAATTTCCGTGTTTAAATGGTTGTCTGTCTCATTAGCTGGACCAGATGAGATGTTTGGAGATCTGGTTTGCTTCATTTCACAGACTCTGTAATACAGCGGTGCTCAGTGAGAGGCCAAGAAACACAAGAGAAGAGTCCAGCATCAACAAGCACCTTCCACAACTCAATCTGAACAATAGACAAAAGAGAGAGGAGACACTGGCAGCAACTGGAATGTCCTAAACTGGACCAAAAACAGGGATTAACATCTATGAGACATGATGCAATAATTATTCTGAAACAAATTTACATGAGGTACACAACCAAGCACCAACAGTTTTTTTTTTTTTTTTCGGTATATACAAGAAAAAGTTGTTATCCAAACTTTAGATGATACAACCACAGCTGCTCATTTGTAGCACATGTCTTTCAAATGTGGAAGACATGTTTTAAAATTCTCATAACATTCAGAACAAAATACATAACTTCTGGTATTTGGTTTCTTCAGATCCTACCTGGGCTTGACTTTTCCAAGCACATTTGAGTTACATCTTTAAAGCTAATATTTGTGATTAAAGTGGTTGACCCAGTCCTCCCGCATTCTCACATAACACCGCTGTTCTATCTACCTTACAGCAGGTTGGTAGTGTTCATGTTTTGGACTGTAAAAGACCAGAGAACAAAGGCTTAAAGATGGTAACTATAAATATATTCTTCTATGCTTTACTATTTCAGATGACCATTTACATAGAACAGTTGTGAAAAAATACGACGTGGACATTTTCATATTATTATTTTTATTCTATTTTTATCATTTGGACTTTCATAACACATTCACATGCTAAAAAATCACATTATTGTCATTGTTGCTTTGTAGAAACCTGGACTCAAGAATGTGTCCCCTGTTGTTCCCGGTTCAGGCCCTGTGCGCCCTGTGAATGAGATCTCCATGGAGCGTCCAATATCCCACACAGTTCTGCCCAAAGTTAATAAACCAGTCACATGTGCTTCTTCACCACTGTGTTTGGTCCATTGAGGAAATCCCCGCTGTACGGAGCTCAGGGTCATCTTGATTGACAGGACAATGGGCTGGAGGTGTGTGGATGGTGATAGGGCAGAGTGACCCCCATGGGGAGTGTCCCGCCCCGGGCTTCTCCAGGGAGGCCCAGACGCTGCCACTGGAATGCTTGGGAGAGG